ACGGATTAACCGGATTTACATTGAACCCTATGGGAAAATTTGCGTCGGGTTACGACCAACTAGGGATACACCCAGAGTCACGGAATGTATTAAGTTCGTATCCCAAGGTACCACTGTAATATTTACATTAAAATATATTGTAATATATTTTAGTGTGTTTTGCTGGGTTTTTAGTTTTTGTTAACAATTACATTTTATTCTTATGGTTCTTCCCGTAAATGATTTCAAAGAATGGGGAGCGGGGGGGGGAATCTGAAAAATATGTTTAATAAATGCAGGTGAACACCTCCAGTGCTATTTATACATGATATTCCTAAAGTCAGAGGTAGTGCATTTTTGGAATGTGGAGCCGTTTTAAAGATGAAGCATTGCCAAAGATATACTAACACCACTTTTTTTCTATTGCCAGAAGCATAGGTAGCAGTACCAGTTCTATTTGCATCCCCCAAATATGCCATTACTGGAAATGACTGATTATAAAAAAAGAAAAGCCTTTCACAATTTTGCACTTGCAGAATTAGGAAGGTTTCACTGCTTAACTCTAAGAACACTCACCTCTATTTTGTCATCACCAGGATGAAGACAAAGATCTCTTGGGGGGGAGGGGGGAGGGAGGGAGAGAGATTTGCTTACTGTGTTTCAAGCATATCTTTTTGCTTGCTCTAAAGGAAAAGCAAGCTAAAAATAATTAAAATACTGATGCAAGGAAGTTCTTAAAACAGAGCATCTTCTCAAGACTAATTTTTATTGATAAAAACCAACATGCAAAAATGTTTAAGCTTTTCTGTAGACAAAAGCATTCAGAATAGCACAATTATTTAAAAACTTTCTGCAGCAATGAGCTGACTTGGCTGTGAAAGAAGCACTGTTTCACTTATCTTGCTAAACCACGGTTTACAAAACACAAGGGCAGGGTTCACAAATAAGCAGACCATATTACAGTTGGGTACAATGTGTCAGCCAGACATTTGGTGGGACGCTACCAGGGCTTAAACCAGCGCTTCCCAAACTTTCTCCTTCATTACCCAAAACTCGGGGGAAGGAGGGTGCTGGTGGGTGCATTTGTGCAAGTGAAGGGGGGAAGGAGGGCAATGTGTGTGTGAGTGAGTGAAGGGGGAAAGGAGGGCGCAGTACATGTGGGCGAGTGAAGGAGGGCGCAGTGCATGCATGTGAGTGAAGGGGGGAAAGAGGGTATGGTGCACACAAGTGAAGAAAGGCCGAGGTGGGTGGGGGAGACATACCTGAGTGATTTACAACCTCCCCCAGACAGCTTCCCCATTGACTTTGCTTGTGGGAAGCCAGCAGGGAAGGTTTCAGATGGTGATCACGTGACCGCAGGACACTGCAACTGGTTGTAAGTGTGAGCTGGTTGCCAAGTGCCTGAATTTTGTTCACGTGACCACAGGAGTGCTGCAACAGCCAGAACTTCAAGTAAGTCCCTTCCTTCAACACCATCATAACTTCAAACAGTTGCTGAATGAATGGTCGTAACTCAAGGACTATCTATATTATCAAAACAATATAATTGAATGATCTTTATGTCATATCAACAAATGTCAGGTTCAGCCCAAGAACAACAATGAGGCAATCCAGTACAGTTCAGTTCCTTTATTAGCTTGCACCTAATAGACAGAATCTCGCCGGACTAAACGTAGGCTAAAGCAACTAGTGGATATCCCCTGTGAGACTCTAGGGAAGGACCAGCCTCATCCTCTTCGTCTTCCCACACTCTCGTTGTGGGCTGAGGAGGCGCTTGCTCTGCAATGCCTCTCCCCCTTCCTGACAACCTTGAACTTCCATTCCAGAATTTTCCCTACTCATGCCATCCATTACATCAAATTACTATTGGTAATTTCATCAATGTTTGTTTATTAGGAACACTTTGGGAGATTTTCAAATATATTTTAGTACACGTGGCAATCTTTAAGTCAGTTTAAATGTCCCTGTTGTGAATGGGTTCATGTGTCATTACCCAAAGAAAAATAACTTTTACCCAATTTTGGGTATTTTATCCAGGTTTGGGAAGCACTGGCTTAAACTATCTTGGAAAGAAAGAAAAAAGCCTGCTTGGGATAAAGGCAATGGCAAATCACTTCAATATTATTGTGACAAAAAGTACAGGGACATGTCCATGAAGCTACTAGGAGTCATATTCAAGTAAAAGATGTTTCTTTACTGTATATACAAAGACCCACACCCCTTACATACATTGAAGAAGTTCTGGCTGTTCATCACAATGCAATATATTAAGGGGTAAGATCATTCTGGTTTAGAACCACATAAGCACTTTTTCCTAACATTCCTGAATGACAACCATGGGAAAATTCTTATTTTATTGGTTTATTGGCACATTTGGTGTAAGTCTGCAATTTTAGTTAAAATCCTTACTAAACACGGGATATTATTTGATAGTTCACACATTCAAGAGTTTCATAGCAGTGTTAGCCAAACATATTCTGAACCGTGATGTGTGAAAAGTTATCACTGAGAGGTTTATTTAATACGTCTATTAGATGCTTTTCTACTAAATTAATTGGAGCAATTGGAGACACATAGTTTTGCATATTGTTTATTACCTGCAGAGCTGTCTCTGAAGCACAGATGAATGCACAGACAAAATCAACAGCTTTTGTTCTGCTCTTATTCACTAACAGATACTTGAATAAACTTTGACAAAACTTAGTTCTATGTTTATAGTGTATGACACTTTACCCAATCTGGTGCCCTCCGATATATAGGACCACAACCACATTGGCTGCAAAATGTGTGGCTTTTCAAGAAGACACCAGGTTGGAACAAGCTGATAAATGTGAATAACAGACTTGCTACACAAAGCAGTTGTGATAACAGGTAATAAAAGGATTTAGAGTGCTATGCTCAGATGAAAAATAAGGTCATATTTTACTCTAATTCAGCATCTTAAGCACAGGTTATTCTATGTAACATTAAACAAGAAAACACAAAAAGGAGATAGGGTGGAACATGCTGATTTTGTTTCTGACGTGGCTGGAAGAGTAATGACAAGAGCAGCTGCAATGTCAAGAATGTGGGAAAGATTTGTGAACCAAAGTTCATTTTACTGTTCCCAAAAAGCAAAAAGTTCACTTAAAACAAAATGCAGCTTACATTTTTCTAACATTCTGAATTTTCCCTAATACTCACTATAGACTATACTATATTTGTGTGAAAGCTCCAGTTCTTTAGTTCGTCATTGTGCTGAATCAAGACAAAGGAAAACAAAAACACCTCCCTTCCCCAACCAGAAGATATGCAAGATTTTTAAATAATTATAGTAAAGATATGCATGACTTTTTACAGACAGTTTAAATTGAGTTGCCTTACTCAGCAAGTGTACAGGTTAGCTTTTGGTTAGAAAATAATTAGATCTAAAAAGACGTGACTAGGGCAAAACAGAACTAAATGCCCTTGACCGCTAAATAAATATTCAACTCCTTTTGTTAATGGACAGCATGCTCTCCTAAGTGCAGAACTGTCAACTAAAACTGAGGCCTGGCACAGAGCCTCCAGAAATAAACATATAGTAAAGGACTTTGACCAGGGGAGTGAACAGAAAAGATGGTGGAAAGAGGGGCTAGACACTGAGAGCAGAAAAGAAGTGCTGATTATTTTTAGAGACGAGAAATTAAAACAAGGACAAACATACAATTATTTACATTATATTTAAATCTGTAAAATAATTTGGAAGAGAATATCACAAAACAGATGCAAGCCTCGCTCCTCACTGCAAGCCTATTTGAATATGTAGATTCTGATACCCATTTTGTATATGGAACTGAGAACCAAAATTCTAAAAGATACCTGGCTTGCATCAACAACTGCAAATCTTCTGTTTATGGTGCTGAGCAAATCCTTCTCCAGATCCAATAATTCCCAGAAAACTGAACTTACCATATATTGACTAAGTTTGCTCAATACACTAAGTAAGGCTAAATGGCAATTGGATAGTTTGTGGCTCAGTGTTATGTGGAACCTGACATGACCTTAAATCATAATACGGTTTAGGCATAGTATATTATGAGAACACAGCAACTGTGCTTTTATGTTCTATATGTTGTCTTGATTCCAGCTGGCAAGACTAGAAGACAGTGCTTGAGAACATGAACAGTACCTGGTGAAGTGCCAAAGAGGAACTCTAGTCAATCAAAGGTAGATTGTCAGCAATAGTGGTTAATCTATGACCAGGATCAAGATGTTTTAAGAAACCTGAAAATACACACAAAATCTGCTTGTAGGTATACTTATTACACCACAATCCCTTCTTGGAATTTGATCAATGAATCCACCCTGACCAAATGTACAACTTTACCCCTTTGGCTTCAGAAATAACTTTTCACATAGGCTTGAGCTCAAGAACAACTAGTTCTTTCTGTTTGTAGATGTCAGCATGGAACATGCCAAGTCCTTCTGACAATCTTGCCTGGAACAATGTCTGAGAGAGAAACTGTTCACATATCTATTTAAGAAATAAAACACTTTTAGTAGCATAAACGTATGGGCAGTTTTCCTGAAAAGTTTGCCTGGACTTAGCAATGGATTCAGTGTTTGGTATATACATCACTACAGGATAAAGTCAAGGGAAACAGTTAGGTTTCATTCTGCAGCAGAAAAGCCACAGTAGCTATTGCTGCTGAGTTCACTGAGTTGGAATTATTTATCTCCCCAGTTGTAACATACTGTATACCATACTTCAGTCTCATTTGAATATTATGCATTGGGAGTATGATGTTTTGGATTTGATTAGGAAGAGGTACTCCAGATGGAAGGGAACACAAATGTAAACCCTTTGGCAACTCATTAAATTGCAATCACACAATCATAGAAACAGACCCAGCTGCTTTAATGAGTCACAAGCAGCTGCTCTCATACATTTCTGAGCACCTCTTCTGAATGAAATCTGGAGCACTGAAAAACCCCATGCACCATCCCATTCTATTTTGTTTGGTCATTTTTAAAAATATATGGCTTCTAACACTTGTTAGCATGTACAGTCCCTTTCCAACTGTTCCTAAACAGGCTGGCAAAATGGAGATGGATAAAGAATGACTCATTACATTTAGGATCTTTGAATATATACATTCTAAAAACTGTCTGCAGTCTTTTCTATTTAGTTTTCTTTGCTGAGATTCACATTCCTCTAAGCCACTGTGAGGTTTGTATGCTTTTGGCTTAGTATTTTGGGAAAGTTCAGCCATTGTGATTTATAAACCACGATTTATGGTTACATATGTTGTATGTACCCAGCTATCAACAAAATATAATTATTCAAACCATGGCTCAGTATGTGAAGCCAATCTGTGTCTGGTCATATAAGCATCTTCTGGTTTCTTTCCTTGACAGGATAACTGTACCATGACTTCTAAAGCATTGTTCATAGTCGTGTTGAAATCAGATGAGATCAGCCATACTGAAAAGATCATTGATTTTATTCTTGCTGATATATCTCTGGGGTAACATTCTAATATCTGCTGAGAAATCTTCAATTCTTTTCTCACAGCTAGGAAAGCAATCACAGCTATCACCAAAGACCAGTTAAAGGAACCTAGGCTGAGGCAAAAGATTCCAGCAAATAGATCAGTGCGTCTGACCTGTAGGCCTGATCTAAGAAATGTTCAAGGTGGTCTTAAGTTGAGGCAAAACTCCCTGACTATCCAAACTGCCAACAGAACATGCCCCCAACTGATGCCAGCTCCATGCCACTTTTAATAAGGGGGGGGGGGAAGTGAAAAAGAAGATGGAGAAAACAACTTTGCTCCCCATCTTGTCCAAAGCAAGGCAGCAGGATTTGGTCAAGTAATATATTCTCTTGCATCCCCCTCCCCTGCCAGGTTTTAAGTTGGCTCTGCCTGAATAACTGCAAAATAGCTAGCCTCGTATATTTTGCAAAAATCAATCAGCTTCATCCTTGCAAAAGAATATTTTGCACCATCTTTAAAACAAAACTGAGAAAGTTAACAAAAATATTGGTCAAAGCTGACCTGAAAATCATGATGTACTTAGACTTAATGGTAAACTTAGCAGCCATAGAATGAGAGGTCTTTCTATAGATTGGTAAAAACCACACACACACACAAACAGAATAATCAACAGACCATTTTCACAATGGAAGAAATAAGCTTGAGGTCTTGAAGCAATCTGCATTGGACTAATGGTATTTAACATACTCATTCACAATTTTGAGTACTTTTTTTTAGAAAACTGCATCACATGAAATACGATTGAAACAATTTAAAAGAAATTAATGATTAGAGTCAGTGATGTTAAATTACTCAGGATAATAAAATTTAAATGAATTAGGAGGTCTTCCCAAAGCATCCCCCAACATGGTAACAAAATGAAAAATAGAGGGGCGGGGTAGAGTTGCTGATATGCAATCATACAATCACACTTAATTGTACACACATTTTGATAAAGTTCATAGTTGGCCATGAACTCTTAGGCAAAAATATGTTCATGTAATGGTGGAAAATTTAATGGAAATATCAACTTAAAGAGCAATCCCACATACTGGAGAGCAGAAGCAGAGCTGTCAGCCATAGCTTGTTGAACCCCTCTGGCCAGAAAGATGGAGAAAGCCTTTCCTCTGTCATTATTTTAATGGTAGGGAAATACTTATACTAACTACCCCAGGAATCATTACACTAATTTTTTGAGCTCATGAACAAAGATTTTTTGCAGTAGTTAAAAGGCCAGGCTTATCCCATTTACCTAATCCACCCTGCACTTTTTGCTCCTTCTTCCTACTACATATCTCACTCCAAAGTGTGTTTAGAATTAGCTTCCCCTTGATTCAATACTTCTTTGCCCATTGCCCCCTTCTTCTACCCTTTTTTCATGACCTTGTTTCAAAAATCTGTGTTGCTGCATTCCTTCTTTTTTCAGGTTCCTTGCTTTAATCTTCTCATATTTTTACTGGTAAAGTTATAAATCCCTAGCCAAACGGACAACTTTCCCTATTTTCATTGTTGCTGGGCTGCAAACTATTTGATTTCTTGAAAGATTAGATATTCTGTGCCAGCACATCAGTTTAATCAGCCTCTGTTACACCACTCACAACACCTGAGAGGGATATTTCATTGAAACTAAATGTTAGTAGATGAGAAACAACAAATCATTTACTGCTTCCTTCTACACAAGTTAACATACATAAGCTCAGGGCACAATCTGACGATATGTAACTCTGCTGAAGCTCAGTTAAAGAAGTCTGGTCAATGTCCAGATGAAGGAGGGCATGAGGACCCCACATATGCTACTTTTGTGGAACAAACAGAGACTATAAGTAAAGCTGCAATTCATTTAACATAATATGCAATGCTGTGTACTACAGATCTATTAGCTATCACAGGTGTATAAACCTGCCACATTCAGAGAGTGTATGTATGTCTTTCATTACCAGCTAAGAAGGCAAAAACCAGGATAGCTTGGTTGATCTGCTGAAATATATGGCAGGCAGGCCACTGCTTGTGCTCAAAACCTTCACATCACAGCGAGATTCATCTTCAAAGCGATACTGGTATGATTCATTTACCAATCAAAGTCTGGCTTAATTTTACATCTTCCCCATTCGAGCTGGCTTCTTCTACAGCAATTCGCCTTTAGAGCCATAAGTCAGCTATACTTCACCCCCACCTCTGCTACAGTTCAAAAATTATAGTCGCTGAACCTAAGCGTCTGACAATAACATTTATGTCCTCAAGTTATGGGAATCTGGGATGCGGCAGGTCCAACACAACATCGAGTTAAGGGAGCTGGATGTTAATCGTGTTGGAATCTGTAGATGCCAATTTACTTGAAGCAGAAAGTTATAAAGTCAACCTGGAGCTTTGGGTGGCCATCCTATTTTTCTGCTGAGTAGGACAATGGATCCCCCTTTGATATTGCCTCCCTCCGATGCCTCGGACTATTCTTTCACCCCAAACTGTCAGAATACCTCGAAGCCACTTTTTCCACTAAAGCCAGAAGTGAGTCTCTTGAATCACCTCTCATCCCCTGTATTCCCTCCTCCCTTGTCAAACTGAAAGACAGCACTTATTTCCCATAGTCTTTCTAAGTTAACTCCTACCTGTAACTCACCAAGCACCACTCGGCAAGACACACACCTTTCCTTTGAAAGCACATGGATAATACTTTTTTTTTTTTCTAATCTCTCCGCCCCTTAATAGTTGGGACGCGTGGCCCTTCGCAACCAATCAAAAGACTCTTCAACCCAAGAAAAATGTGCTGATCCCTCCTTGATATAACCCGCATGCGCTAGACAGAACGTGCTTTAAAAAAAAAAAGACGCCAGTGGGCGGGGCTTCTTACGGTCAAGTCCCTCCTTCGCTTTCGACCGCCTAGAGAGTACCCGGGACGAACGTTCTACGTAAGAGGGATGCAATGCGCACGCGCATGCCGCAGTTGCCCATGGTAACCGAGAGCCGCGTAGAGGATGGTGAGTGTGAGATTGAAAGGGGGAGAGAGCCGGGGACGGAGGAGGTTGGGGAGGGCGAATTATGATTGTCCCCCCCTCCAATTCCTGGTGCTGATCGTTGTTGAAGAGATCCGTTCCTCGGAAACGGAGTGCTCGGTGTGGAAGTGAGGCCGGTCTAAAGCGATGGAAGCGGGTGAATGGGCCTGAATAAAAAAAAAAAGTGGGGGGAGCGCGAATCGTATATTTCTGGTTGGAGAAACTGCTCAGAATGACTACTAGGAAGAGGAGGTTGATACTGGCAGATAAAAGATTCCAGAAATAGGGCCTTTCCCTCATTTTAGTATTTGTAAATCCCATTTGCTTCTCTACTCTACTGTGCTCTTTGGAATTGTTGAGAATCTGAAATCAGGATTCAGTGTTCATTTATGTAAATCACTACGAAGCCACATTTCTTATGGTGATCTTTTCTGTCTATGGCATTGAAATGGTGTCATTCGAACGACAGTTTCTTAATCTTTTAGAGCCATGTGACTACTGAGGAGCTTAGCCTTTGTAACCTGGAATGTCATGGGGCTGAACTGACCCATTTTAGAAGTGGAATTGGGTCATGAGGAGTCCTGTCGTTTTTTTCTGAAGATGCAAAAGTACATGCAAAATAGAGTTCAAAGGCATCTTTCTAGTTTTTTAAAAAAATATTAGAAAGAGAAAGGATATTTTTCTGATTCTGATACCCACAGATGTTCTTTTGATTATTTGCCTTATGTGACAGGCAGGTAAGCCTATTTAAAAGCCCATGAGGTATTGATAAACAAAAGAGTTTTCATTTTATCAAGCTAAGTCAATGGTAGGCAGAGGGATTGTACACCTTTTCCTTATCTAGTACTGCTGTCACAATGTGAACAGAATTGAAAGGCAGGGAAAGGAGAAAGTGAGAGGGAGCAAATGTGAAGGGGAAGATTTGATTATACTTATAGAGTAACTGTGCTGTTCTTTTGCTAGTGTATGGAGGAGAGCTAGAATGGGATTTAATATTAATAATTTATTAAATGTATATCCCACCTGACTCCCAGCAACTCTGGGTGGTTTTTAATGGTATATCTCTGGGTGAACTACAATAGTTTGGAAAGGATTTCTGGCTCTCAACTGTGTTTAACTCGGAATTATGCTGCTGAAATAAAGAAAGAAGAGGCACTTGGGGAAGAATTTTAGAGCGGAAAGACCAAACTCCATTCAGTTTTGCCACTAAAAACAATCCTGTGGGCATAAGTACAGTATATGCCATAGGCAACAAACACAGGATTGTGGATCTTGGAAATCTGGTAAAAATTAATGTAGATTCCACAAGCCCAGAGTGTCAGCTTTTGGTAGATTAGGATGAATAATAACTTGTCCTTTAACATCCATCTAAAATATTGCTCCTGTTTCTCTTCCATTGCTATTTGCAGTAATCAGCAACATTAAGATAGGAAGTAATAAGGCTTGAAACAGCAACTTTTTTGGTTCTTATATGTGGTGATGTATATTCTGTTTACAGCATTTTCTTGGGGTGAGGTGGGGGAAGGATCTGAGTAAGAACAACTTGATTGACCAGTATTCACAACTTCTTAATACAATTGTATATTTGAAGAATACACATTTCTCTTTTTGCACTAAAGCATTTTATTTCAGTGAATCCTGGTGTTGTAGAACAATTGGAGTTTTTGGGATTTAGATGCATGACGTTGATGGAAGATATCCAGAACTTTATAGACTTTCTTAGAACCTGTTCATCCACTCTTTGTGAAAATTAATTATGTTATACATTTCAGCCTTAGCATAATTGGTGCAGTTAGTACTTCATACATTTTGCTTCCCTCTAACCTAATTTTCTACACATTCAACCTGCGTTAGCCTTGTGTTTCTCCAGTATTTTCTCCAGAAGGTCTTCCAACTGTACTTGAAGATGCCAAGGACTTTCATCATTTAAAGTATGTTTGCTATCTCTGAGGTTCTAATACTTTTTATTTCTGCATAATATTCAGTATGGTATGACCTTCATACTAAAAAAGAATCTGTGTCAAGAATTAGTTATTCTGGTTTAGATTTTTAAAACTTAATTTTGTAAGCATGAGGTGACCAAGTGAAGATAAGCAAGTATATATGCAGCTGAGTTGAACACCTATGAGAAGAGAAAGTAAATAGTTTCCCTTTTATTTAACATTAATTATCAGCTGAAGCTGAAACAAGGTCACAGCAAAGGATATTGTGTGCCAGGAGCTAGTTTCCAGATGATAACTTCTTCAGCTGGTGCCCCCATATATGTTTGGACTACAGTTCCAACCTAGTTGTACCTTCTGCAGTCTGTCATCTCAGTACATATGGAGGATGCCAGACTGGGGAAGACTGCTTTATAAGCTTAAGCTCAGGACCTGAATCCTAAGAAAGATTTTTGCAGAAATTTAGATATTTAGCAAAGAAACCTTGAATTAAAACTGAACAAGAATCCTCGACTAAATCTATTTTATGGAAAATGGATAGGAATAAGACACTTAAAGATGTGCTAAGAGAGTATAAGTTTGCAGAGAACCTGAATGTATTCTTTATACCTGCCTGAATAGTCATCTTTTTTTTTCTTTTCAGAAAGTGCCTTTTTGAAAAAGAACTCTGAAAATCTGAGGCAAATAGTGATAATATTCAACAAATTAAAAAGTAAATAGTAAGGTATCTTTTAAAAAAATATTTGACATAAATCCAGTGGTTTCACTAAATTATCTGCCAATTTTGAGAAACTATTGAATATATGTCAAATATTGAAAAATTGAACCCAGTGCTAGAGATTACTGAGAAAAGACTGAAAATTAAATTACCAATAATATATTTGACAAATCTGTGGTGTGACCACATTTAGACTTATGTATAGTTCTGACTATGATTGTTTAAAAAAAGGATATAGTAAAGCTGGAATAAGTGCAGGAAAAGGGTAACTTCAATGACAAGTGAAGCAGGAGATTGAGGAGAGAGAAAAGATATTTCTTCATATAGCATATAATTAAGCTATGCAGTTATGGCCACAGGATGAGATGCTTGCCAACTATAAAAGGAGATTAGTCAAATTAATGGTTGTTAAATCTTTTAATGGCTCTAAGTAATGCCAACTATATCCTATTTCCAGGATCTGATATGGGTTCCCCCTGAATATTAATTACTGGAAAGCTGCTGGAGAGGACTATTGCTATCATATCCTGCTTTGGCCTATCAACTATGCATTCTGGTTGGCCAGTGAAGGAAACAGATCACTGGATTAGACATGCTGTTTCTGATCTAGAAGAGTTCATTCTATATTTTCTACTTTTTTTCTCTTGCACTGTTCTCTCTTTCTGTATTAGTTGTAATGGATTATTAGTTGAAAATAAATATTTCTGATAAAGTACTTCACAAATATGAACATGCTATAAAAATGGGACAAGTCCCATTGATTTTTCTCCATAATGTAGTTTTCAGTTGTACCCTCTTCAAAATTAATAAATTTGTGTTAGTAATGCCCTTTACATCTCCAACGAAATATCTCTCACTTACCAGGTACATGCCCATGACACTTATCAGTGTAAATAATTCATCTTCCTAGCTTTTACTGGAATTTCACAGTTGATACCCAGTTCACTAAAGGCTGTATGTAATCATATGCTGTTGAGAATGTTGAATTGCCACATACATGGGTCAGAAAAGCAGTAAGTATTTGCGTACACTGAGCAGTATTTCATTGCTAAATTAATTTAAATGTACAGTGGTCCCAGAGGAGAAAAAAGGTCCTTTAATAGGCCTGTGGCTATTGTACTATGGATAAAATAAAGTAACTGAGTTTATACAAAATTAGGTGCAAAATTATTTTGCATGTTTCTTTTCCAAAAGTGAAACAGATTTTTAAAAAATATAATTTGCTTACCTAGTTCTTATCAGCAAAGCTATCAATGCATGATGTTTGTTTATCAGACAGAGCCCGATGCTGATTTGGTCTGAGAGGGAATGACAGACCAAAGATCACACAGCTGGTTTCTGTGCCTAAGGGATGACTAGAACCTGGGTTTCCTCACTTTTAGTCCAGCACCTTACTACTATACCACATCAGTTCTCACAAAATATAAAATATATCAAAATTATCCATTCAAGATAAAATAACTGCTGTGAGATGAATTTAAAAGGTAGTGTGCAGTGAAGTGCTGCATACATGTAGAAAATGAGCGCTCATTCAGTGAAACCAGTGTATCATAGAAAACAAGATTCCTCTTTAGGAGGATTACAAAATCTCTTTATTTCAAATAGGTGTTGGAGATAGTTTAAATAGAGGTCTGTGGATCTTGCAACTGGTAAGTTTTTAGCACTTTCAGTTACTATTTAAATGGGACCAAATTATATTAGTGTTTTATCTATGTTAGAATTGTGATGTGTGAACCAGGATTAATATTTACATAGTATTTTTCTGTATCCATTATAGGCAGTGTGGTGTATTGGCTAAGGTTTTGGAGTAGGGCTAGAGAGATTACAGTTCAAATCCAACCTCACTTGTTGAAATTTACTGAGTGGCTTTGAGCAGTCATTCTTTCTCAGTGCAATCTACATCACAGGATTGTTCCATGAGAATAAAATAAAGGGAGTTTCCTTTTTATACCATCTTGAGATCCTGATGGGATCAAATAAATATACAAAATTGCCATAAGTGAAATAGGATATCATAACTAAAAGCTAAACTGGGCCCTAAATTAATTTTGAGCAATGATGACTGTTGGAGAAAAACATAGATAGGTATGTGGTTTCAGGTTGATTTTTCCCCCATTAATACCTTTCTCAAGCTGAACGTACATAAACTTCAGTCATTCTTGATTTGTATTCATAGGTCTGTGTGAAATTGTCCTCTTGATTAGACAGTTCCCTGTCATTGCACATATAGGGGAAACATAGTGAATACTTAAAAAAAACCGAGTCATGCGCTTTAACACGGAAAAAGGCTCTTTGTCATTGATAGTTTGGAACTGGAACCATATCCTTACATCTCAGTTCACTGAAGATGTTGATTGTCTAACAAATTCAAGTCCTTATGAGTCATATACCTCTACCTATGCTTTCATGCTTCTTGTTTCTGCTTGTCTGCCTCTGCATTCCTGCTGTAATAAAGACAGAAATAGATCTTGAAATGTTAGAGAAGGGAATTTCTGTACATTCCTAACACCTATAGTTCCTAAAATCTAAGTCATGCCTGAGATAGGCAATAAGGCTGGAGTGTAGTAACAGTCCAAAGTGAACTAGGAACGTTGGGTCCATATTGAAGAACAGTCAGGATCAAATCAAGTGGCAGAATTGAAATAGTAGAAAAAAGACAGTGAAGTAAAAGTCAAGCCAGAAAGAGAGGCAAACCTGAGTTCAGCTAGATCTTGTTGCTAACCTTTTTCTACACATTTCTACCCAGAAGAGACAATGGATAGCTTCCATAACATCTGGAAGATGTTTCACTAAGAAATTGTATTGAAAAGATTTGCTACTTAGAGGAGTATTTATTAGTTCCTTGCATTATGATGTCACAGTCTTAGGATAAGAATAGCAGGGTCATTTAATGTTCTGGTTCTGATGCTAGCTAGGAAACCAATCAACAGATCAAGGATAAGAATGAAAAGCCTGAGAGTCCTGAAAAGAGATGGAAAGTGCTGATATGTATTATGTTAGTACTTAGGAAAAATTATTTAGATTATTTTGAGTGCAACTATGTAAACATTTAACAATACTTATTTCCAAATAGAGCTATTAGTAAAGTTATTAGATAGCCTTCAATAATATTATTCCTTCAATTTGAATTCCATTAACATTATTTTTATACAGTATTTTAGAGAACTTGCTATGATGCAGCAAAAATAATTCTTGGCACCCTAACAAATGGTTTATTGCATAAGCTTTCACTGTTCACTCCATTACAAATGCTTGGAATAGAGCCCTAAAAAGGCACACTATATGTAGACACAGTGTGAGAGGGGAAGGAAATTGAGAAATGGTAAAAAGAGAGGTGAGAGGGACAGTGAACATTTCAGAGAGATAATGACTCTTAAGCAGTAGTTAGGAGTGACATAAAACCCATCCACACAGCTTCCATGCCCCACAACAAAGATGCTTTACTTACCATTTGTGGAGAACATGTCTATGTCATTGTCAGCCCACTGCTACAGCAGTTTGGCTTTAGAATTGATGTGGAAGTGGTTTTTCCGTGTTATGCTGAAACTGGACTTTCATGCAAACTGTGTAGAATGCATGGAAGAGGTTGCTTGACATGATGCAGACAGAATCAATGATTTGCTGAGCTCTAATCAGACAGGTCTGCTGTGGAACTGCACCCTTCTGTATGGCCACCAGGTTTTGTACCTGTTCTGCAATGTTGTTCAATGTTGTGTTGGCTGCCAGGAGGACAGGAACCACAGCTTCTCCAGCCCACCAGGTTTTGTACCTGTTCTGCAATGTTGTTCAATGTTGTGTTGGCTGCCAGGAGGACAGGAACCACAGCTTCTCCAGCCCACCAGGTTTTGTACCTGTTCTGCAATGTTGTTCAATGTTGTGTTGGCTGCCAGGAGGACAGGAACCACAGCTTCTCCAGCTACTTTTTTCTGGATTTTTTTCTTATGGGTAGGTAAACCAATTAACTAAGATTGGTTGCTGCCTTGACTGAGAGACCAGGCAACCCAAAGCACCAACAGGGGGACTTTGCACACACCATTCTTGTTCATGAACACTAGTTCTATTAATGCCATGCTGTGGAGCTGGTAATCTAGGAAGGCTTTTTGTACTTGTTGAGAGTATGGGATGCACAATGGCTTTCCTCTATGTTTACTATTACTCTGGCTACAAGGGAGACTAGAATTCTGGTTTTGCAGCCACTTTATTCAGCATTTTTTGAAGGATAGGTTTACTAGTCCACCTACACAGACACTCAAACTCAAGGGGTCAAAGCACCTGTTGGTGCTTTGGGTTGCCTGATCTCTCAGTCAAGGCAGCAACCAATCTTAGTTAATTGGTTTACCTACCCATAAGAAAAAAATCCAGAAAAAAGTAGCTGGAGAAGCTGTGGTTCCTGTCCTCCTGGCAGCCAACACAACATTGAACAACATTGCAGAACGGGTACAAAACCTTTCAGATTGGAAGAAGTACAATGAGAGTGATATCATCTATTGCTGCCTGACATTCTATCACAATTTATGGATGCTTCAAAAGAAGGATTAGAATCATACATAAATCAAATTTAAATATTGGGCATTTTTAAAAATCTTTACATTTTTTTGCTTGAGTTACTTTTGTACTGATTTTTTTCCCATTTCTGTACAATATATTTCTAAAAGCCTGTCTAAGTCTACTTAACTTCTTCAGACTCTCATTCTATCCCGTGTGGATTCTTGTGACACAGTGCCTAACCAGTCTTGTCTGTTAGCTTAATTATAATAATTTTATTCTTTTTCTTTGTGTTTTAATCATGTTTTTTCAACTTTGTGTATTTTCATTCCTATTGTCTAAGGGTGTCCCATACAGTTTAAAATATGTGCTCTTTTATATCGCTAGCCCTTCTATTGGTATCAGTTGATTTTAAAAGGTGTATTTGCAAGCAAAAACAAAATGTTTGGTCTGTTTAAAAGTATAACTTCTAGCAATGTTACATGGTTTATAAATTACATATATTGATGATATGTTTCTTTTCATTATTTTCCTCTGTTATTCTATATATAAATTTCTAATAGACTCTTTCTTCATGTCTTTACCCTTTTCAAAATGTTAATTGTTTTCTCTTTGTTCACATCCTCAGTCCCTTTGTTCCTCAAATATTAATGTTCTTACAAAACCTCCACTTTCTTGTGCTGAATCTTATGTATGGCACTGTTTTTCTATATACATCAATTTCCTTTTTGTCCTGTTTTATTTAAGAAATGATTAAATATTAAATATCTCTCTTACATTCTTTCTTGATACTCTTTTATTTTCAAATGATATTTATTTTTACATTAATGAATTGGGTTTTTTTTTTTACTTCTTTTTAATTTATCCATTAGGGCGATAATTTCTCCCTGAGTTTTTGTATCGTATATTCTATATTATGAACCTATAGCCAGGGACCTATATATTTTATCAATGTGCAGTGCCTAGTATACGTTGGGAGTAGCATAGGTACTTTCCAAAAATAGGGCTTGGTGATGATGATTAAAATAGCAAGTTTCCTCTCTATTTGACTGACAGGGCTTGCTGTCAATTCTGCGTAAACTGAAGAGTGCACCAGACCAGGAGGTTAGGATCCTTCTCCTGGGATTGGATAATGCAGGCAAAACCACACTTTTGAAACAACTAGCATCTGAAGATATCACCCATATCACTCCAACCCAGGTAAGGAAAGATATTATTATTGGTAGGCCAGATATTCCATGATTAAGTATAATACTATATCTTGATGTTTGGTAAAAAGTGCAAAAAAGACACTCAAATTGGGTGTTCATACAACTCCCTTTCTAGATGTCAGTGGTATGATGGTACAAATAGTCATGAATCACTTTCAAGCTTCACAATTTGTTTTTCAGAATTATGGACAGCATCCCTTATTTTCACAGTCTTTTTAAAATCCAGAATAGCCCATAATGTTTGAAATTTCCTTTTTTTAGGCATGAAACCAGCAGTGGAATGTGATCTAATAAAGAAAAGTAATTATTATGATACAGTTAAAATATATCTATAGTGGAATATCCACATGCACTTAGATTTTACCTTCCATTGTTTCACACTTTAAAATATTAATGTGTCAGGGCTGAATACCCAGAATTTACCCACTGAAATTCCAATAGTAACACTAGTAACACACATATGTGCACAAACATGTATTTAGAGATGTTTGTATATCTTAAATAACTTTTCTTAGGCTGGAAAGCCAAGGTTAGTGGTTGTTCAAAAGATGAAACTGTGGTCTGCAAGTTTTTATAGCCAATGGCACATTTAACATTTTTGGAGCATGTCATTGGTAATAAAAGAAAATAACTGCCATTAGGGTTCCCCTTTTACAAAATGATTGTTCCAGTTGATATTAAAAACCATAAGATACCTGTTTCTCAGAAAGTAGACCTATGAGATTACTCCCTGCAGTCTTCTCTAGCCTTTAGGATATTCATTATCAAGCCCAGCTTAGCTTACTCTTGTAAAAATTTCTGGGCAGGTAGACACATTTACAAATAGTGCTGGGCTACAAAGCTATTCACCAGTTTTATTTCTAACAGTGTCTAAAGAGCCTATGTGGTATTCTTCATTCTGGGAAATAAAGGTTAGGTTAGCTCTTTGATTTTCAGAATATCTGCTTCCTTTTTAATTTTGTTTAAAATCAAACTCTTTCAAAAATGTAAAAGGTAAAATGGGTCCAGGAGCTGGTAAATTTAGTCTGACAGTAGAATCAGTCACTGATTGAGATGGTGGGCTCCCTTTCATTGGATGTGAGGTATTCAGTGTATGGACATTCAGCTGTATGGAGATGTTTAATTTGGATTCCTGCAGTGAACAAGGAGTTGGACTAGACCAGTTGGACTGGCCTTAAATGGCTCCTTCCAATTCTATTGGTCTATGATTCGTTGCTGTTTACAGGTCCCATTGTGTGGTTTCTGGGATTATCATGCAATTATTTTGCCTTGTTCATATAATTTAAGGGGAGCCTGACAACATCATCTTCTGTTTATAACTCTCCTTGTATCTTTGCAGCAGGTCTTCTATCTTTTTTCTCACCAAGGAGTCCATTAATAATGGAAAGACAGAATGGTTACAAAATAACTTTTGAGCGACGATGTTAAGAGACTTTTGTCTAGAAGTACTGTTTGGTACTACATGTTCCTATGTTACTGTTACCAGATGTAGAGTGCAGATATATAATAGATATTCATTAAAAGAGTAGCATGTAATGTACCTCAGTTTTCTTTGTACAGGCCAACTCTCAACTGATACCCAATTGTGAGCATCTCAGAGATGCCAGCAGGTGGTGCTGGAGATTTGTAGGTTGGATCTAGCTTGTGAGCAATTGCCTGTGAGATGCTCCCATGCCTCAGAGCAAAAACCCACCCTCAGATTCCAAGCTTAGAACCAACCCCTTGTGGAGTCCCTGGGGTTCTCTGAGCTTGGTTGTTTTCTTGCAAATGTTTTGTTACCCGGCTAGGTATTGTGTGGCAACTTGTTGCCAGTCTGCACCACATCTTGTTTTTCTAGTTGTACACACCTTTCAATTGGAGCTTTAATTGATAAATGGATCTCTCAGAAATTCAACTGTTGTTTCTACTTTTCTTGTATGAAGCCATATACAGAGTTTTGCTTCTCATTAACCTGGACGTTGGGTTTAGCTTTCAGTAGTAGAGGCATTGTGCTTTCTCCTTGTCTGCATTGTTCTTTGACTTCCCAGTGTGCCCCTCCTTTCTTGTTATAAGCTGTAACATATATCTTGTTGTAAGCTATGACATAAACAGACTCTGACCCAGGCAAGGCTATGGTATCCTTCACCTTGCCAACAGTCAATTCATCTGAATAGCGAGCGATACATGCTTTATCTTGTTGCATTTTCCAGAATTGTGATACATAAGCTGTGAATAGCATGAGCCTATAAAATTGTGGCCAGGTATCCACTTAATTTGTGTATGTTTTAACTTTATTTATTACAGGGTTTTAACATTAAAAGTGTCCAAGCCCAAGGTTTCAAATTGAATGTGTGGGATATTGGTGGACAAAGGAAAATCAGGCCATATTGGAGAAATTATTTTGAGAACACTGATATCCTGGTAAGCATTGGCCACATTGTATGGCATATTAAATAACAGTGACTTTAAATTTAAGATGTGTTGTTGTCTAAATCTGTATCTTAGCCATTTATTTTGTAGTAGACAGGAGGTCTTTTTTGCAAAGCAAGTGTGCATAAGTCAGTTTATGAAATCTTAAGAAACATTTATTTTTAACTACTGTCTTAGCCACATGCTATGTGATAGTTTCATTTGGTATTGCCTTCCATTTGAAATTATGTGGTGTTTCAGATTGAAAAGAATGAACTGAATTACGATGTGGGACCTTTTCATTCATACCCATATTTTGTCCTGAATGCTATATGAAATGTTCCCAATTGACAGCTGTATTTCACACAGGCGAGGAACATGTTAAGGAGCTCTTCCCATATTGGTATCTTTTGTACATCACATCTGGAACTTCTTCCACCATCATGATCACATGTCACTCGCCTTTTAAATTCTCAAAGAGTTTTGTGTTAGTTACTATGGTAATATTTGTGACAACAGCTCTTTAAAATAAGGCGGCATTATTTCATACTACAGATGGCAAATTGAGGCCAACAAATAGTTGCTTGTCTAATGTGGCAATCCTGCTATAAGAAATCTAGTACTACTTAATTTATATAGAAAACCATGCATTCACAGAACCAGAATAGCAGGAGAACCCAAAGTTGATGTGGCAGACAGCCCATATTATCCTAAGGAACTGGCAGACAATCCATATCTTCCCTGAATATTGCAAGGAGAAGCTACCGCCAGTCATAAAGTTGTTCACTGACGGAGTACTACATAAGACATGCAGAAAGGACCAAGTAATATCCAGTGATGAGAAGACAATCTAATAATGATTCTGTATGTGTTACAGAAAGCATAGCCAGATAGGTAGAAAACTACCAGAGCATTTCTTTGTTACAAATCACCATAAGTTAGAAGACAAGGGTAACAACTGCTAACTATAGCTACTCTAGGTGTTTAAAGTCAGACTTTCTACAAACAAAAATTTCTAAGCAAGAATCCAGGGTAATGCAGGGAAAGGAGGATTGCTAGTCATAACATCAAATAAACTCTGTAGCCTGGTGAAGAGGAAGCATGAATGGAGAGCTCATAGACTTCCAGTGGTTCAGATCCTATCATGACAACATGTTGCTGCAGAAACATTCATCTGAACACTCCAGTTAATGCAGGTATATCAGAATGAGGTGAACATTTTTCTTTTGTAAAGCAGCAGCAGCAACACGAGTGGAATTCTCTGATAGCTCAGTGGGGAAAAAAAAAAATTCCAGTGAGACCAGAAGATGGATGTTAAGAGTCCTATCACAGGGATAAACTAAACTAGTTATGCCTAGCTCAGCTGTTATTAAGAGATTGCATTCTGTTACCATGAAATAAACAGAGACAAAAGCCATATCCACACAAAGAAGACTGAACTTAACTCAGCCTTAATAGTGGATGGGGGACTAACTTGCCAGTATAGTCCCATAAATCAAGTGAACCATTTCAGCACTATCCCTTCTATGGCCAAATGCTCAAGCCAACTTTGTGAAGATTTACTGCCTGCCACTTTCTGACTTTTTTCCCATTAACCTTAACAAAATAATAAAATTAAATAAGTGGCCAATTGGAGTTGGTGCCGCTATGCCCAGACTGGGGACAACTAAATCCTTCATAACTCCCTTTATGATTTCAGTTAAGTCATCTTAAGTAGGATGACATGGAAGCTATACTAGTTGAAATGTTATTCCTGAGGTAGCTCTGTTTCACATCCCTCAAGTAACCCATTTCTTTGCTCAGTGGAAAGTGCCTCCTCCAGGAGCCAGAAGAACAACACATGTTCATGCGCTGCCCACAATTGTGGTTGAATATGCTAACATAAAGTAAGCCATGCTTTCATTTGGTGGATGGTCTGGGCTCAGGTGACAAAGTCTAACTACAATATCATACAATTACGGGCAAAAAAGTTATTTTTATACTGTATAGATCAATTTACTGATGCAAGAATATCTGATGTCACACTCAAGTATTGTTTTGTGAATGGTCATTATTAATAGGTAAGTACCATTATTTGCCCTTCCTGTATTTTATTTCTCTCTGATGCACTGTTTATTATTCCCTCCAGTCACTGATGTTTGTATAATCTTCACTCAGAATAATGCTTTATGCATCTGATGAAACAAAGTATAACCATAAAAGCTTATACTATAATAAATGTACCAGTTTTTAAATTCCTTGGGTCACATGTTTTAGCTATAGCCAGCTAACCTAGCTACCTCTCTGGAAAATGTAATGCTAAAAGATACAGATTGAATATTCTGGCAGCAGCAGTGTTGTCAAATGTAAATCCAGGGATATGATAGCTTGCTTGAAACCATATGAGAAATGGAGTAGACAAATGATTTGCTGCTTTCTACTTTGCACTTCCTGCTAGCAGCATTTTGCCAATTTAAGAGTTTTGTAATATTGCAGTAGAATTATTCTTGTGTTGTTGTTGTCCTCACCTACCCAAACTTGGGAATATTAGCAACTGTATCCTTCCTCATTGGTTGTAACCTAAGGATAATATTTTGCTGTAGGGAGATTATAGCCAAAGTGTAATTTAAAGTATAAGGACTATTAGTGGATCAGTGGCTAATAGCCCCAGTCTTGAGTTGTAACACTGCATCAGTTCAATTAGTTGGATTTTTGAAACATAGTGAAGGAAGCTTTTAGAAGGGTTGCTGATATTTATACTATTTTCAATTCAAATATATCCAAAGCGATTTTAAAAAATAAGCCATCCCATTAAAATATTCAGACATGTAGAAAACCAGAAGAATAGTTGGGACGGTCCAAATAATTAAATATCAAATAGATTAAAACATGTAAAACTGGAGACAGGTCTTTCAAAAGTTTGATGAATAAAAAAATTCAACTTGTCACTAGCATTGGTGCTGCAGAAAGCTGCCTAGAGATTTTTTTTTTTTGCAAAGAAAGACTGTCTAGATCATGGAAGGAACTCACTGCTGATTTTATGAAGATTCTGTACAAATTTATTGGAACTTTCAGGATGCTCCTCTTTCTTTGGTAAATTTGGCAGCAAAGAAATGAACACTTTCCTATGCAATACTTGGGTGCATCATATGAATGATCTATTCAAGTAAGAAAAGTATGGCTGTAACTTGAATAATAGATGTTAAGGTTCTACGTGGACAAATTAGCATATGATTAACAATGTATATTGTATCTTGGCAAGTTTAATTATCCTACAAATATTTTAACTAGATAATTATTTTTAAACTCTAATCTGATCTTGTACAGCTACGAGACAAAAACAAAACAGCATGTCAGGAGTTATGTTTCTACAGCTAGTCAAAATATATAACTTTAAATTCCTTCAGTCTAAGAAGTTCAAAAAGAAAACTGACTTCTGCTCACATACAAACACATTGAGCAAATTCACATAGAATCAGTTTTTATACATAACAATTTTCTTTCAACAGTGATTTGTCCAAGCATCCTTCATACTGAGTTTTTAAGCCCATAGGCACAGTTTCTTGTGCTATTCCATTTTAACCTGCTATTATAGTAAAGGGAAAGCTGGATTAGGGTCTACATTACTTTGGTTTCCCTTGAAGGGACTTTTGTAAACAGACAGCATGCTAAGTAAGAAGCCTGCCTTTGCTCAAAGCTGAAGAATATTGCACAAGTGAGAGGCCCCTCTAAGAATATTTTTAACACATGAAGTGATTGCACATTCATAAACATGCAGGTGTGTTTGAATGGGAGATACTTCAGTTTCCCACACCTGTGCTATTTGGAAGCTATGCACAAATAAAGGTGTGTATATTTGAATGATTGCATATTCAGACATACACCTGCAGCTGTTTGGCACAAAACTTCCAGATATGGAAGTAGGCACTTGATGATCCCTATCTATCCCACTTGATGCAATGCTGTTCATTGTGGCGTTGGCATAAGGTCTGCCCTCTCAAGTTGCTAGTGAGGCGCTTCTCATAAGTTAAGCTTAGATGAGAAGTCCTTAGAGAGCAGTCAGATGCTCCAGGGATCTGGTGAGTGGTTCTGCAAACATAGTTTTTTCTTTTGAAGTTTAATCCAATGTTTCATCAGGACTACAAAAGCATGTCATTATTACAAATGTTGTCTTTGGGATGATGTATACAAATTGCTCCCATGACCAGTTATGCAACTACTAAACATCCTAGAACAGCAAAGTTGTCAAGCTTGGTGAACGGGATACATTTCAAAGGATTATACTAGCTTAGTTTGGATGGTAACCAACGTTTGAATGAAAGTTTGCCCACAAACACAAGCCATTTGCTTTTTCTTGCACAGCAAGCCTGAATACATTAGTGTTCAGTTAATCATCATTTTCCTTTTTTTTTTTCCTTTGAACTGGGGCAAAGCACCTTTTAGCTTTAGAGAAAGCCAGAATCCTAAATGAACTTCAAAACATAGTTTAGGATTCTGATTTGTTCTTAAGTTTGTAACTATAATTTCCCAATCTGAAAGAACCTGGAAAGTAGTGCTCCCATTTGTATAGTAGGAAAATGTGGAAAGTCTGGGTGTGTAGGCTCTCATTTATCTCTCAGCATATTAAGATGATTGTTCGAATAAAGGCTGCTGCTACCTGTCTTGAGATGTTAACTTACAATTGGATGAGATAAAAATGTTCATTTAAGTGTTTTTGGGTGGCTAAAATATGGGCTCAGTTCAACTTCTAGAATTCAGTCATAATCACCAAGAGTCAGAGATTTCTCCACTCATTTTCCCTTGCCCCCCAAGACCCAAGGCATTCAGAGAGGCAGGAGAAGTAAAGGAGGGTAGAAGCCAAGTTACAAAAAGAATGGGTTGTGATATACCAGTAATCACAACTTGTGGTTATAGGTATATCAGTAAGTTATCACTTATTAAACAAACCCCTGTATATTTTCTCTCCCTACATAACATCTATGCCTGATGTTGCCAAGCTGCTGTCTTTCACTCTGAGAATTCTGTGCTTTTTCAGGTACAGCTAACAGCTGAAAAAAGTGTTATAAAACACTATTTTTCAATAAAAAGGGACTGACATTTTGATCCTAGACAGGTTTTTTCCCTAATGCGAGATCCATTAATTTTAACAGGAATTAATTAATGTGGAGAGATCGTTATTGCAAAAACTTATTATTACAGATAGACTTTCTGTGAGGCAGCATCCTACAATTGAATGTTTAAACTTCTTTCCCTTATTTACTTTGTAGATTTATGTCATTGATAGTGCTGATAGAAAAAGATTTGAAGAAACTGGTCAAGTAAGTATATCACAGCTTTTGAAAATAGGGATACAGTACATTGAAGTTTGTCAGATTTTGAGGTGAAACTTATGTTAATAAAATTATAGTTTAGTTTCAGTTTAAGTTACAGCTTCCGCCAAATTAGTTGAAAACAGATGATTTTTTTAAATCCCTTTTTGATTTTCGCAAGTTTGACCCAAGTAATTTTTATTTTTTACACTGAAATCTGAATTATATACACTCAGCAGTACAGTCTTTAAAAATATGAAGATTTTCCTGATAATTTAATGTAGTGATTGGTTAGATTCTGATTTATAATACAGTGTTCACTTATCAATTGAATCCTGCAAGATCTCCAGGTTATATCCAGGAATGATTGGAAGTATTAGGCTATTATCCTTTGATAATTATAGCACTTTTACAGCTGTATCCCCAAAGCGGTTACTGTAAGTTCATCTTTAAAATGACTGCTACTTATCATTTTGCATTCTGTTTGTTGTCTTCTTTTTTTTTTCTGATACCATTTACCGGAAAATGTAAGATTTGAGTGTCTTGTATCATAAGTTCCTACCCCTTAATTTTTGGAGTGTCCTTAAGGTCATCTTACAATGAATTTAGTTATAGAATGGTATTTGCAAGATCAGTTTGTATTTAATCTTCAATGTACTGATTATATTATCATCAAATAATGTGTACATGAGCCCAGTGTACAGGGATGTTCATTATCCCTTTTAGTAGCCACAATTGCCTTTTATGAAGATTACAAGTTTTTTTTTTTTAAGATTTATCAGTGATCCATAGAGATGAATAAACTGGATCAAGCTTCAAAACTTGTATTTAGGATTCTTGCAGAATTTGAAGTATATGTAGGCTAAAATGAACTGCTTTTAAGAGCTGTTCCACTATACTGGCAAATTCAGCTTATAAGCGTGCTAGTATGTGTTATTTTGGCTGTTCCATAAGTGCTGGTCTCTAGAGGGTTGGGATTGGCAATGCACAGACATTGCCTTGAAAGCAGTCAGTCTGAGCAAAGTTCTACTCTGCTGTAATTTTGGAAAAACTTATTTTCAAGTGATATCAGTGCTTCTTTGTGTTACATACCTGTACTCTTTATTGTAGCATCTATACTGTTACAATAAAACATTAGGTTACAATATTTCTCCAGAACTGTTTACAGAAAAAAATCTTGTTCACTTTATAAAAAATTCTGCACACGTCTTTATGATTTCAGGAACTAGCAGAGCTTGTGGATGAAGAAAAGCTAAGTGGAGTTCCAGTACTCATCTTTGCAAACAAACAAGATTTACTGACGGCAGCCCCTGCTGCAGAGATTGCAGAGGGTCTGAACTTACACACAATTCGAGATAGAGTCTGGCAGATTCAGTCTTGTTCAGCCCTGACTGGAGAGGGCGTGTCGGTGAGGAGACAATGTTTATTTTGGCAGAATCGCTTTTCTACTGATCTGAAAGAGATAGGCATTCCTCTTATTCTGGATCGTTGTGTTTTCAGTGCAAGCATGAACCAAATGCATAACAGAGAGATTTAATTTTTAACTCACTCAGGGCAAGAGAGAGATTCTATGTTTTTGGATCTCTCTGTTGCGAATCACACACTAATTTATATTTTTGCTTCAACAATCTCATCCCCATTCTTGCTTGATTCTTTTCAAGTTACTATTTATTACCTTCCTTTCACAACATATGTATTATATTCGAATTTGGTTTTAAGGATAATAATTTTTATTGTACCAGTTTTTACTTAGCCATCCTTCTTAATTTGTTTTTGCCACAAATACTTCTTTAACAAGCTTTAATGTTTTGTAAAATATAAAAGCTTGTTAAAGAAGTATTTGTGGCAAGGTGGAGGTATGTATGTGTCATTCTGTCTTTGTAAGTGGTCCCCCTACAATTCTGGTTTGGTCCTACTGAAAGGTGTGTGTATGTTTGTGCATTACTGTATTAGGCAGAGTCACCAAAAAGATCAAGGGTAAGGTTAATGAAAGCAGTAAAAGTGTGCTGGGAAAGGATTATATAATGCAGGATGAACCTTCATTTTTTCTGAGTTATGCTTCAGAATTGGGTCAAGATGGGATACACCCTGGAGCAAAATAAGATAGACTTGGACAATTTCAAAAGCTGAGGATTAGGTCCTTGCAGAGCCCCATTAAAATGCATAGTATATTCATTAACAAACAGAAAACCAAACAATGGAGCATTGGGATATTGGGGAAAGTAAAGACTTTTTTATTTATTCCAATTTCCATTCCTTTCCCATTCATTCCTTTTTCTTCCTCATAAAATTGTCTTTCAAGTTAAGTTTTCAGTATATTTTCCTTTCCTATGTAGGGCGTATTAAGGTCTCTTACTCCATTTTTATCTTGCTGTTTTCTGCCTACATATAGTCAAGATAGCTTAACTACTGCTATTTTTGCTGGATCTTCACTGGATTGGCAGTCAGTCCTCCCCATAGGGATCAGCAGGTGGCAGCACCTCATCAACATTGTCTGACCTTGAAAACTAAGCAGCTGCTAGGCCTGATTAGTATTTGGATGGGAGACCACTAGGGAATACAAATCTAGATATTAGACTGAGAGGTCAGAAAAAAATTCTGAAAGAAGGGAATGGCATTACTGCTAAGACAACTATGTGAACATTTTCGTGAAGTCATTAGAAGGCAAGCTTGGCTCAAAAAGGGCTTTATCACAACTCATCATCAACTCATATGAAGAAGACCACAGTAAAGGAGTGTGAGAAGAGATAGATAGTTTGCATTTGGAAACTTTGTTATTAAAATCCGTTATTTGGTAAATTATCGTTTGTTGTATCACCTTATTTGAAGCCCTAACTAGTTACAAGTGATAGTTAAGCTAAAGGTTCCCTAGAGTTGAGCTTGACTCCTGGTGACATTAGGGATGTATCCATTAAGTTTTCTTGGCAATAATGCAGGGATTTTTAAATTATTTGTACTTCACAGTCTTGCACACAACTTTGATATGTGCTGGTGGCCTTCCATCCAAATACTGACTAGATCTGACTGTGTTTAGCTTTTTTGATATTTAGATTTTGGCTTTTTTAACATTGTTTAATTTTTCAGTGTTGGTTAGGAGCTGTCACCTGTAGGGCTACAAGCATTTGTGTACAGGTAGTCCTCAAGTTATGATGGCAATTGGGACTGGAATTTCCATTGCTAAGTGATGCGGTTGTAAAGCTCAATGTCACATGACCACATCACTTAGTGGCACCAATCCCAGCACTCCCCATTGTCGTCGTTAGTCAAATCCCAGCAGTCGTTAGCTGAGGACCCACCCTGATCCAAGCTGTTCCCGGCTTGGTCACTCCCAGCCCCGAGCCTTGATTCTTCCAAGATAAGGGACTGCCTCCCCTTTAACTCCCCCATCTCTACCCTTCTGGCCTCCCTTCACCCTGCCTTGTGGGGCAGCAAGCAGCCCACAACCATGCGGCTCTGGGGTTGCTTGCCATGCTGCAGCTCGGGCTTCTTGGTGCACCATGGCTCTGGAAGCTGCAGCCACCCCAGCCCAGCACCTTGGCACAAAGCCCCAGCCTGGCCCAGCAGCGTGGCACAAAGTCGCAGCTGCCCCTGGAAGCCCCAGCCCAGTCTAGCACTGCAGCGCAAAGCCACAGCTGCCCCAGGAAGCTGCAGCCACCCCAGTCTGGCCCAGCTGCCCTTGCCACCCTGCACTCCGCCGCCCCAGCTGACCTTCACCATCTTCTTGCTCTCGCTGCTGATGAGGCATACCTGAGGCAGCTGCTGGTCACATGAGGCCTTCTTCCCTAGGTCTTGCAAGGAAATCGCTGTGTGCAACCTTGGGAAGAAAGCCTTGTGTGGCCAGCAGCTGCCTTGTGAAAGGTCAGGTTGGGTGTGCTTGGTCAGCAGCAGGAGCAAGAAGATGGCAAAGATCAGTTTGGGGCAGCAGAACACATGGCAGCAGGGGCTGTGGAGTGCAGGGGGCCAAAAGGGCAGAGATGGGGGGGGAGATAGGCAGGTGGGGGAGTTGTATGCCACTGCAGTTATAAGTGCAGGCGGGCTGCCAAGTGCCCAAATTTTGATCATGTGACCACAGGGGCACTGCAACAGCCATAACTTTGGGGACCAGGTGTAAGTACAATTCATTCAGTGCTGAGGCAATTTCAAACGGTCCTTGAATGAATGGTCGTAACTCGAGGACTACCTGTAGTTAATTTTAGATTTAAGGCTTAATGGTCTTCTGAGGAAGTTTGGGGGCTATATGAATGTATATTACTTCACTTATTTCAAAACATGGTAAGCTCATTCTGTTGAGTTGAGGGGCTTTTCTGCTGATTCTGCTAAATAGGCCTAATGGTATCTGTAGTTACCATCAATAAGTAAGTACTTTCTCTATGTATTGTTGCTTTTACTCCATTTGTTTTATTTTATTTTGACCATCCATCATTGCGGAACATATCGTTTGGTCTTTTTAAAAAAATATAACTTGGTAAAACAAAAAAAGTGTGATTTGGCTAACTAAAGCAAAAGGGAATAGAGTCATGTAAATGTATGATTTAATTGTGTTACAAACCATTAAGTTTCTTTTAAAAGTCTTTCAGCATAGTTTGAAGAACTGAGTAGGTATAAGATGAAGGATAATATCCTAACCCTATGCATGTTTAATCAAACTAAATCCTAATATGATCAACACATCTTATTCCCAGGAAGACTTGCATAAGATTATCATCTTGTATATGACCCTTGTGAATCTATGAATAGTTTTTCCTCAAGATAAATCTTAATATTTATTCTTAAAAATGTCACAGGACAAAAATCACAGTTGTCCCCACTAAATAAGGTTAAAAAGGCAGCTATTGCTTCACCTTCTTAAAAACAATATTCTACCACCATTTCCTAGTATTTCATGCATTTGTCAGTCTCCATGTTTTAAATCATTTATACAAATATGACTACATTCATTTGGCATCTGTTTTCTTAGTTCCCAAACATTTCCCTTCGCCCACAATGTGAGCTTCAATAAGTGATCCAGTCAAAACATATGGTGAATGAAGTTTTTACCTAGAAGAGGCCAAAATCAAAGTTAATTTAAACAGGAAATTCATTTGTTCATTATCTCTTGTAGAATTTTGAAATATTTTATTTCTAATGCTTACTTTATCTGAAAAAATACTACTTCATGCATCAAGCTTGGATGGTAAATACATCTTTGAGACAGATAGGCAACATAGCATTTTCTCTTCATCAAAGGTACATGCCAAGAGTAGACATATTATTCTTCTGGTACCAAAGTAACCAGCATGTCATGTGCAGATATAATGTTGCCAGGTTTTTTTAAGCATATATGTTCCCCCTCACATTTCTTGTGTGCATCACAATTTATATCAAAATATAAAATTTGATGTAATATACCTATGTATACAGGTTTACAATATAACTTATGAAGCATTTCCTAAAGAAAACAGGTAACCTGGATGGGAGAATGGAAAACATTTTTGTTAGATTTTAAAGCAAGCTTAAAATTTAGCTACTATACTATCCTTTAAGCCAACAACAGTGATACTGAAAGCTCTTGCAATTTTCTGAAGTATACTAGGTGAAAAATTGATTTTAGTTTAATTTCCAGGCTTTTCAAATACTTCATTTGTGTACAGTAAAAATACATTGATATTTCTTTCAGCACAGCTTAAAAATAGTTTCCTAGAAACATAAGTCAGCAGAATTGCTTCATTCCCGGCTAAGCCCTTTTCCCCCACTGGAATCTGACTAAATATAAAAACCATTTGCTTTTCATATAACTGCATATAAATTTAGAGTGTGTCTTCTACTTTCAGAATTAACTTAGTTGTGATCATCCTTTGTTCACTCACATTTCATAAGGCAACCACAAAATGCCATTGTCCAATCACTGTCATAATGGATCTTCCCTTTTGTTCTTCCTTCTTTTCTCAAACTGAAGAAAGACTGTTTTGTTTTTACCTATAGAAGTAGAAAGATAGTGCATCACAGGAAGTCTGACAGTTCTCGCCTTTTTTTTTTAAAGGCAGGTTTACACATGGGAATGATATATGGGGAAAATATACAAGAAAGATGTAACAAGGTAACATGACATTATTGTACAAGTACATATCTAATTTTATAGCAGTATCACCATTACTGTCATGGAAAAAGTAATACATTGTTATAAATACAGTATACTATTGTGGTATGTACATCATACGCAGCCACACAAAGAATGAGATATAACCTTTCCTGTCATCTATCCTTGACCTAACTCCTTGTGCGTCTTGTTGAAGCATTGCCAAATAATTGCACTACCCTAAGCTATTCTCACTGGACTCTACTCTTAATGCTGCAGTTCTTCACAACCATGAAAATAATAGAAGCTGACTTTAGAAAAGGCTGAGGAACATGAGACATTATTACTGATGC